CTTTCTCCCCCCCCCCCGACCCAGGCGTCCCCAACTCACGGCTCGGGGGTCTGGGAAGCAGCCCGAGGGCGGATCGGGCCCCGGGGGACGTAACCCCCGAGCGCCCTGTCCCGGGGGGGAGGGCGACCGGACGCCCCGAGCGCTGGGGTCCGGCGCGCGGGGTGATTCCAGGCTGAGGACCCGGGGACCAGTTCAGGGTGACTGGGACGGAGCAGGAAGTGACCCCAGCTTCCCGGGCCCCTCTAGCCTGGAGTCAGAGCATCAGCTCTATGGGATTTAACCCTTTGCTGCCCGCAGCCTGGGAAAAATAAAAAAAAAAGAGTGGGCCGGAGGAGCGCGGGGGGCGGCGACGGCGCCCCCCGACCCGACCCCGCGGGAAGGGCTCCCGGCACCCACAGGCCAGCGAGGGTCTCCGGGGTGGGAGCCGCTGGCCATCCTGCAGGGGTTCCCCGACGCCCCGCTGGGTCGCAGATCTGCTGGCTGCCCGTGGTCTCCCCCGGGCGGGCCTTTGTCCCCACTCACCCTGCCGTGGGGCGGGGACGCCCGAGTGCTGGGGTCGGAGCCCGGGCGGGCGCCGCGGACCCCGGGGTAACCCGCTACAGTGTAGAAAGGACTGAAATAAGTCATGGCAAAATGATTGCCAGCAAGGATTTGCCCCTCTTCCTCATCAGATGCCCTTAGAAGAGGAAACTGAGGCCCAGGGTGGCAGCAAAGAAACCAGTGGGGGAGGGGATTCTCCGATAAAGGAGGGTGTGCGTGGGGCCCGCAGCTGGCGGGGGAGGGCGGCTGGGCGCATGGAGGAACCTCCAGAAACTCAGGAACAAGGCCAGGGTTATGCAGTCCTGAACCCCACTTCCTCCTTCCCACAATCCCGGGAGGCAGGATTGTCCATCATGCCCATTTATAGATGAGATCAAGGCATGAGAAAATGAGGACACAGGCTTAAGACCACGCTTAAGGGATGCGGAGCCCTCAGAAATGAACAACAACAAAATTGAGCTTTCCAACCTCCAGAAGTCTGATAAGGAGCTGGGCACCGGCGGCTCACACAGGAGGCTGAGCTCTAGGGATCAAGGTTCAAAGCTAAGCACAGACAGGAAAGTCCTTGAAACTCTTATCTCCAAGTCATTAGCCACCAGTAGAGTTGTAGCTCAAGTGAAAGAGTACCTGTTTTTAGCAAAAGAAAACTAAGGAACTATATGCCCAGGCCCTGAGTTCAAGCCCCAGTTGGCACAAGTTTGATAGGAAGCCAGAAGTTGGGGTACAAGCCTGTAATCCCAGCATTTGGGAGGCAGATGCTAGAGGATGGAGACAAGCCAGTTTGGGCATAAAAAGACCCTGTCTGAAGATAAGAAGTGTGATTGTGTGTATGTTGTATGTGTGGCAGACACAAAGGAATTACAAAATGTGGAAAAAGTTTCCCCAACCAGGAAAGGGAGAAGGGATGGTACAAACTGGAGAAACCTAGGGCTGGGAGAAGGCGGAAAGCCGCACCCTGGAGGCTCACAGAAGAGGGTAATTAGGCCTACACAGTTTTTGTTTGTTTGCTTGCTGTTTAAACTGAATTAATTGCGGCACTTACACATCAGTACATAAAAGCCAGGCACAATGGTGCACCTGCACCTTGCCCCAGCTTGAGGCAAAAGATCACCTGAGCCCAGGAATTCAAGGCTACTCTGGGAAGCAGAGTAAGATCCTATCTCCAAGAAAAGTTTCTTCACATAAAAATAAGGATTGTCCTGCTTCTTGGGAAACTCCAAAGCTGTGATGACATGACTACATAACCCAAATAGTTATTGTGTGTGTGTGTGTGTGTGTGTGTGTGTGTGCATTCATGCATGCATGTATGCACGTGCAGCAGCAGTCCTGGGGCTTGAACTCAGGGTCTGGACACTGTCCCTTAGCTTTTTCACTCAAGGCTGGTGCTCTACCATTTCAGCCACAGTTCCACTTCCAGCTCTTTGTGGTTAATCGAAGATAAGAATCTCAAGGACTTTCTTGCCTGGGCTGGCTTTGAATCATAATCCTTAAATCTCAGTCTCCTTAAAGGCATGAGCTACCAGTTCTGGTTTAAGATCATGAGATCTGGAGGTCTTGGATATTCTGACTGCAAATCTGGGGCTTTTTTGCTTTTTTTGTTCCTCTGCTCTTCAGCTTGACGCTAGCGTTCTACCTCTTGAGCCACGATGCGACTCCCAGTTTTCTAAGTGGTTTATTGGAGATAAGAGTCTCCTAGCTGAGGGGCTTGGAAGGTGGCTCAGTGTTAGAGTGCTTGACTTCCATGCATGAGGCCCTGGGTTCAATTCCTCAGCACCACATAAGCAGAAAAAAAAGCCGGAAGTGGTGCTGTGGCTCAAGTGGTAGAGCACTTGTCTTGAGGTGAAGAGCTCTGGGACAGTCCAGGCCCAGAGTTCAAGCCCCATGACTGACAAAAAAAAAAGAAAAAGAAAAAGAGCAATAATCAATATGCTAAGTAGAAAAATGGCTTATTTACAAATTTTAAAAATAATGCAGAACTAACCCAAAATGGATCAAAGACAAGAAGTTTAAGATTTTTTAAAAAATTTATCTTATTTATATGGTACCAAGGAATTGAACCCAGACCCTCATGCATGCTAGGCAAGCACTCTGCCACTAAGCCCATTTCCAGCCCAAGAAGTTTAAGATTTTTAAACTATATAACTTAGGAAAAAATATGGAAATCTTCCTAAACTTGGATTTGGCAATGGTTTCTTAGGTACTGATACAAAAGCACAAGCATCAAAAGGAAAACTAATCCTAGCTTCTCCGGAGGCTGAGATCTGAGGATCCTGATGTGAAGCCAGCCAGGCAGGAAAGTCCATGAGACTCTTATGTGTCCAATGAGCCACCAAAAAGTCAGAAGTGGAGGTGTGGCTAAAATAGTAGGGCACCAGCCTTGAACAAAAAAGCCAAGGGACAGAGACCTGGCCCTGAGTTCACACACACACACACACACACACACACACACACACGTGCACACACCAGCACAAATGGCCGATGAGCACATGAAAAGAGCTCATCATAACTAATCATTAGGGAGATGCAAATCAAAACCACAATCACCTCAAACCTACGAGGGTGGTTAATAATGACAGTCTAAAACAGGTGCCCACAACTTGTAACTGTAATCCTAGCTACTCAGGAGACTGAGATGTGAAGATTGAGGGTCAAAACCAGCCTGGGCAGGAAGTCCTTGAGACTCTTATCTCCAATTAACCAACCAACACACACACACACACCATTGCCAAAAAGAAAGTCGAGGTGTGACAAATGGTGGAGGGACAGTCTTTTTTTTTTTTTTTGGTGGGTCGTGGGGCTTGAACTCTGGGCCTGGGCGCTGTCCCTCAGCTCTTCAGCTCAAGGCTAGCGCTCTACCACTTGAGCCACAGCACCACTTCCAGTTTTCTCAGTGGTTTATTGGAGATAAGAGTCTCATGGCAGGCTGGGAAGGTGGCTCAGTGGTAGAGTGCTTGCCTTGCATGCATGAGGCCTTGGGTTTGATTCCTCAGCACCATATAAACAGAAAAAGTCAGAAGTGGCGCTATGGCTCAAGTGGTAGAGCACTAGCCTTGAGCTGAAGAGCCCAGGGACAGTGCCTAGGCCCAGAGTTCAAGCCCCACAACTGACAAAAAAAAAAAGAGTCTCATGGCCTTTCCTGCCTGGGCTGGCTTTGAACCATAATCCTCAGACCTCAGCCTCCTGAGTAGCTAGGATTACAGGTGTGAGCCACCACTCCTGGCTGGCGAGCCAGTCTTCAGGAAAATATCTAAGGGACGGCAGCTGGGCCAAATATTGCAGAGCAGGGGCCTGTAGCAGGGATCAGTATCATAAAAGAGAAAACAGTAAAGAAAAATTGGGTTTGGGGGTGAATAATGAGTAATAGCATGAAGCTTGCTAGAGCTTGTCCACAAAACAAAGTTCTGTCTAAAACTGCTAAAAATAGCTTGCAGTTTAGTAGAGTCTCTAGAGGCCTAGGGAAATAGTGGAACATAATCATAGTAGACTTCAAGGTAGGGTCTTCCTTGAGTCCTTACCTCAATGGTATTTTGTGATGCAAAGTACCACACCTTCCACCCTGTCCCTTAGTTCTGGACCCAACGCATCTGAGACAGACGGTAAATAAAGCCCTAGACATGTAGGCAACCAAGTATGGTTACAGTCATCGTTTATTTTCTTCATTCATTCCTTTCTTTTGTGCTGGTACTGGGGATTGAACTCAAAGACTCAGGTTGTCCTGTGACAGCTCAAGGCTGGCACTCTGCTACTTGAGCCACACGTCCACTTCTGGCTTGTTGCTGGTTAATTAGAGAATTTAAGTCTCAAGGATGTTTCTGCCTGCATTGGTTTCAAACCATGATCCTCACATTTCAGTTTCCTGAGTAGTTAAGATTGATTATAGTTGTGAGCCTCAAGCACCTGGCTTGCAGTCATACTTTTAAAGCTCCTCTTACAAATCACACATCACAGAGTGCCACTTTTTATGCATATGTGTGTGTTTGTGTGTGGGGGGAGGGGAGGATCCTGGAGATTGGACCATGCTTGTGTTAGGCAAGTGCTCTATCACTGAGCTATATCCCTAGTGCAGAATGTCACATTTTAAGAAGTGGTATACTGCTGGGCGCCAGTGGCTCACACCTGTCCTCCTAGCTACTCAGCAGACTGAGCTCTGAGGATCACAGTGAAAAGCCAACCTAGGCAGGAAAGTTTGTGAGACTCTTATTTTCAATTAATCACCAGAAAACTGGAAGTGGCACCATGGCTGAAAGTGGTAGAGTGCTAGTCTTGAGTGAAAAAACTGAAGGACCGCGCCCAGGCCCTAAGTTCAAGCCCAATGACAGGACCCCTCCACCCCCAAGAAAAAACTAGATACAGCATGCATCTATGTCCTCATAGATGCTTCTCTGGCTGCTCCAGAGGTGACATCCAATAAGAGCAAAACAAGGACAAGGTGCTCCTAGACAGAGATACTGGATAGATCTATCCAACTGATATATCTAACAAAAACAAAACAACAAAAGCCTAGCTAACTGCTTGCTGGTAGCTCTCGCCTATAATCCTAGCTACTCAGGAGGTTGAGATCTGAGGATGGTA